CGAGCTCCAGTGATGTGTGAAGTGGAACTACAATGAGGCCGAGCGAGCTCCAGTGATGTGTGAAGTGGAACTACAATGAGGCCGAGCGAGCTCCAGTGATGTGTGAAGTGGAACTACAATGAGGCCGAGCGAGCTCCAGTGATGTGTGAAGTGGAACTACAATGAGGCCGAGCGAGCTCCAGTGATGTGTGAAGTGGAACTACAATGAGGCCGAGCGAGCTCCAGTGACGTGTGAGGCTAATACGTACGTACACACACGGAGAATTGCTTCTTCTCGGGGCTCTCCATTCATCTCGGCCATTCATACCGGTATTTGAAGATATTTTTCCAAAGTGTTTTTTTTTATTTATTAATCTTCACTTACTAAAAGAAAACAATACTAAGTCACAATGATCAGAACATTGACGCTGATCGGTGAACCAGAACTCTAACCGCCCACAAATCTAACTTTATGAAAAGTCCTTGCCTTGCAAATAATTGCTAAAAAATGATAAAATGGACTTTTTATAAACACAATCTATTGTCATATGTATGTTTATTTTAAGTTTGTTCACGCTAATAATATAAACTGTACATAATATAACCTTCACTTTTAGGGATACTTATCGAACATAATTGATAACCTTTACCTTTATGGATATTTACCGTAAGTAGTATAATTAACCTTATTTTTTTGTGAATATTTAACGTACAACATATGTACATATGTACACGTATATATATAAGAATCAACAAAATAGTGACTTAGTACTTCTCTAGTACTTTCACTTTCTTAGAGGAAATCCCCCGATGAACCTCCAAAGAGGTGAAAGTACTTGGGAAGTACTAAGAAACCATTTTGTCATTTCTTTTATATTTTATCATCACAAGAATTTTTGATGTTTTTTGTACATAAGTACGGTAATGATGTCGATAATTAATTACCTTGACCTATATTTTCATATATTAATTCTCCCCTTTGAATGAATGGAGACATATTGTATAAGTACTGCTTCTCAAATTCTTATGGTTCTTCTAATCGCCATAAATTTTAAACCGTTAAAGATATCTTGATGAAACCTGAGGTGTTCATGCATATGTGCAGCGACTGGAATTAAGATACTGTGACATTCACTTGAAGGTCAAAGGTCAAATAAGTGCAACATTTTCAGTAAATTCTAGTCCGGCCCGTATTTTTTATACCTTTAAAGATATCTTGATCAAACTTGAAGGATACCTGCATCACCTATAGAAGGTGTGCAGTGCGCTGGAATTGGGTCTCGTGCCCCACTGTATACAGAGTTATGTCCCTTTGTTTATTCTTAATACCGAAGTTTGTCCGGAGCATAACTTCCATGTTATTTCACCTACGTTCACCAAACCTAATATAGTTATGTATCTTGGTAAGTAGGAGTGTCGCATTCTTAATTCGGCGCCCATGCCCCACTATATTAAGAGAGATGGCCCTTTGTTAATTATTTATACCGAAGTTTGTCTATTGGCTAATAAGGGGAGACATATGTTTTTGTTTACAAAAACAAGTTTCTAGCTATGAATGTTTACAATATGTTATGAGGTAGCCTTTACGTTTATAGAAATTTACCGGGCATTATACCTAGAACTAAATTGTCGGGGATATATTCCTTAAACCCAGCTTAACATACCGACGAATAACTTGCTTTTTCTCTTCATCCCAACTTATACGAACATCAGTGCACTGTTATATGATCAAGCTCAGTATACTTGAGTTGTTTTGCAGCTCTGTTTGTTCACAGGGCTGCTAATATATATATTATGGGTACACACATGTAACTGATATCATTCTTATTAAGCCGCCCCTTCTCCTGATGAGGACCCCACACCCTTGCTTCTCCCCCATCGCCGCTTTCCCTCTCCAACCGTCATATATCAACCAAACCCGTTGTCACGACCCCCTCCTGGGTTTGTGTAACTATACATGCCTGTCTGACATGTACTTGTCTGGTGTTATTACTATCATGTATGACAACAATACAAGAACAGCACTGCCGCGATGAAGTGGTGGGGAGCATACATATGTTATTCCTATGGAAATTTGTCACCCCTAATAAGCCCCATACATGACGGACGTATATATTTCATTTCTAAACAACATACAATTAACTATATCATTCATATGCATAATTTTTCAGTAAATTTACAGTGCCCCTTTCGGGGACCTCGATAAAACATACAGAGCCCCTTTCGGGGACCCCAATATAAGCTACATGCTGCAGCCATATTCAGCATCCTCGAAATATTAGCCGGTAACTGCCGGATTCTCGTGAGAATGTTTCTACACTTCTTGAATCTAGTAGGATTATCTTAAAGAAATACATGGACGTACAAAGGGGGCGCGTGTGATATAAGCTGAAAAGGTACATGTACATTGCATGTGCGTTTGATTGACATGGATATAGTAGGTAAGTCATTGATTAGTTTGGGTTTATTTTCGGGTTGTTTTTTTTACTGAGTACGGGTGATTGTATGTGTGTACGTTAGTATGTGATGATATTTGTGTTTTATGAATGTCAGTTCTGTACTTAAGGTCTAAAGACGTTCTTTGTCTATAAAAAGACACAAATAGGTGTACTATCTTATATCTACAAATCTGCATCAACAACTAGCTCAACTGCCAGAAACATTTATATACATGTATGCATACGATGCAACCTTTGACCGAAAATGACTGGTACGTTATGGAGCAAAGCTATAATTGTACATGTATATAAGAAATTCGTTGAACATAGATGCTGGTTTGGTCATTATCCAAAAAAGCGTGTGTTTTTTTCTAAATGAAAAAAAAAGAAAACACAATAAGTTATGGAGTTTATAAAATATTTTATAAAGTTTTTAGGATTTTTTTAAAATTTTGAATGATTTCTGATAAAAAGTAGAATATAATGTAAGATATTTACGTTTTTGATGTACATACTCTTGATACGTAATATCAGTTACCAAATATTTACAAATTTAATTTTAAAAATATCTCGTTTGAATTTCAAAACTCCTTGTTTCGAGAATGCACACTATGTGTTTTAAAGCTGACTAGCCAAATTCATATATAAACGAAAACGTATTCGTTCCAGTTGAATAACATTAATATTTTCCGTGCAACGCTAAATACAAAATATCTAATTATTCTGTCACACAAGATAAATGTACAAATTTGTAAATTTAAGTTAACTTGAACCCTTTAAATATCCTTTATTAGTTGATTTTTCAATGTAGAAAATTCCCGCAGCAAACAATTGGACTGCCACAAAATAAAAAATGTCGGGGTCACTTTACATTGTGAGTCGGGACGTCACAATCAAGGACAATGGTGAACACCCACATTTCAAGCCTTTCGCTAATTGGTTTTTCTATTTATTAGTTTCTATTGTTGTAATTTCCTTGGTTTATATCTGATAAAGTGTTATTTTTCTCAACTGAAAAATGCCATTTTGATATTTCTCACTGCAGTAAATTTATAATATTTAAGTGGTAAAAATGCACTTTACTGATGACTTTGTGAAACTTAACATAAATATAAATGAAACTAAATAATGATAATAATAATATTGACAATTTGCACAGGATAAGAAAATGGCGACGTCGTCACTGCGAGACCACCAGGAGATACTCCTGAAGGGACTGTACCAGTTCTACCGCCAAGGGGAGTTAACTGACGTCACACTGGTTGCTGGAGACCGGAAGTTCCCATGTAACAGAAATGTCTTAGCTGCAACAAGTCCTTACTTCCGGTAAAAAATGTCAATTGTAACTAAAATGAATGTCACGATCGTTATATGATCATAATTTCTGTAATAATTGTCTTCCGGTTTACCTTATCGATAGTCGTCTGTCACACACTAGGGTATTTCTCTGCCACCCCCTAGGGTGTGACTAACAGCATATGGACAGATGGAATACTATACTATGCGGCCAGGGAAAAAAAATGAAGTCAAATTCAGATTTTGACGGAATATGTCATGTGCAGATCAGGATTAATATTATTTTATCATCTTTTTCAATCATAGTCTTTCATGGATGGACGAAATAGAATAGACCCTTACTGTATAGTGTATGTAGGCAAGGGCGTTTCTAGAATGTTTGAAAGAGGGGGCGTCGAATCAAATTTTTCGCCGAGCGGAGCGAGTCAAATAAAACGTTGGACCTTTTTTTTTGCTAAAAAAACTAAAATAATTGTGAAATGCACTAATGTAACGGTTCCCGACTTGGAGCATGTATATTTTATAGTTAAAGTGTCAGGGTGTTTATGTGTTTAATTAATGAATATGATAAATTGCCATATTCAATACAATATTAGCAGAAAACGATATTTTTTTTATTTTTTTTTTTGAAAAGCGCATTACGCCCTCACCTGGACCCGCACCTGGTAGGAGCAAAATCAAGCCTCGAGTTGAGATTTTTCAATACCTTCTCTCTGTTTAAAGCCTGTCTTTGATAACACAGTCAACTATAACACGAACTATCGCATCACGACATTCATTTAAATAGACAAAAAGGTTTGTTCAGAATACGTATACTCATTTGTTTGTTTACAGGGCCATGTTTACAAGTCAAGTAAAGGAATCAGAACAACAAATCATAACCATGCATGACGTCATACCGGAAGTGATAGAAGACATCTTGGATTACATGTACTCGGGAGTGATTGCGGTGACAGACGACAGCGTACAGAACCTGTATATTGCTGCCAATCTTTTCCAGATGATTCCTCTCATTGATATGTGCACCGATCACATGATAAGGGAGATAAGTCTGACCAACTGCCTGGATCTATATAATTTTAGCTCATATCACTACAACAAAAGATTGAAGGCACTGTGTAGCACTTTCGTTACGGAAAACTTCACAGATATTTGTAAAATGGATCATTTCTGTTCCAGTATTGACGTGGAGTTTTTAGAATTCCTGATCTCGCGAGACGACATAGATATCGAGCTCGAGGAAACGGTATACGAAGCTGTGATGCAGTGGGTCGAATTCGACATCGAGGCGAGAAAACATCATCTAGGTAGACTTTTTAAACATATCCGACTTCCGCTTTTAGAAAAGCATTATTATTTGACGAACGTCGCCACGAATCCTCTGCTGTCGTATGATACATTCAGCAGGACAGTGTTATCCTACTTCAACTCTTGTACAATGGATAATATTGACGGTATCAACGTCAGAGACGTGGAAGACGAGGAATACGAATTTCAAATATCCGGTAAGCGAAGACTTGGAATGTTTTCTAGAAATTTGATTGTTTTTAGCGGTGGAGCTTATGGTCCAACGGAACGCTCCTTCACAGCGCACGATCCAGAAACGCGCAAGAACTACGTTGGAATAAAACCCCATCCAACATTTGATTTCAAGTTCAAACTTGATTACTCTCAGTTGATAACCGTGCTAAGGAAATATATTTATTTTCTTGGGGGAATATTTTACGAAAACTATCATTTTGAGGACGCTGGTCCTGCACTGGATACTGTGTATCTATACGACCAAAAGACGAGTTCGTGGGTTCCTCGTGCACACATGCTATTCCCAAGATGTGCGTTCTCTGCCGCCGCTGAAGGGACCAAGATTTACGTGACAGGGGGTAAACCTACCCTCCCAAAGGGAGAAACGTTCGATAGCCTAGAGGTGTACGACACAGAAATGAATACATGGGGCCTTCTAGAGCCAATGCCGTTACGACTGTATCACCACACGTCAACTACCCACGATGGCGGACTCTTTGTATTTGGTGGGCAAGATGTCATGGACGAAATGTTAGAATGTCTATTTCGATATGACATGAAGAGTGGACATTGGGCAATTGTGACCAGTTCATTACCAAAACCTCGCGTGGAAGCCTCTTCTTTGGTCATCGGCGATAAAATTTATATTATAGGCGGCTCTCATCAACACGAAAATGCTCTTACTGTAGATATATACGATCCGGCGCTTAATAAATGGAAACGAGGAGCTGACTTTCCTGACGAGCGGAAATTCACCGCCGTCACAACTATTGATGACGTCATTTATGTTTGTGGTGGCGTCCGAGTGTTTGGCCGACCCGGTAGACGCTCGAGGCAAGTGGAAACAAAGGACCTGTATAAATATGACGTGGAAAAAGATAGCTGGACAAAGCTAATCAAGATGGTCCAGTATGCTAATATAAGTACGTGTACTGTTGCTGTGGTCAATTATAAATACCTCACAGAGAGTGAATTCATAAGTACGACAGTAGAACAATAAAATGAATCAACCTGAATTTAGGGTTTGTTCAATTTGCATGCACAGATATGTGTTATACTTTGCATAATAAAATGCATTTTTTGATATGTCACATCGTTGGGTAAGAATATTTCATGTAAGTATCTCTGTTCCACTGTACAAGGTTCCACCATTATATAGTAGCCTCTCCCCTTAACTTCCGTTTGAATATGATAGTAGCACAGATGGGCCAGGGCACTTCTATTAAGCAGTTAGCTTAATCGGTCAGTGCGATGGTACCACAATCTGAACTCCAGGGTTCGAACCCCGGTCAAGCTCCGCTGAATTATTTACTACACTCGGAATACTTCGATATTTATATTGTATATATTTGATCTTTATTGTTTTTTGTAAAAGTCCCGCAAGGTATAGTTTTCTGTTCAGAAATGATCAAACAAAGCTAAAGGAAAAACCATTCCCAGTATTTCATTACAGATTTTGGCAGATTTGATTCCTATAGTTACAGTATTCTTAATTGTGAATATGAAATGCGGGCCAATATATTGCACCAGGCGTTCAATTTTAGCTCAACAGTTTTAGCGGTAACGAAAAGGAGTAAGGGGGATAACTCCTGTAATATGCGAATACCAAAGCATAAATGATTTACTTAGTTTTAAATGGTTTTTAAACATACGAGGTTTACCGGGTGAGAATTGTAATGTACCATGACGTCATAATGACGTTCAGGGTACATGTAAATCACTAGTGGGTAACCAAACATGTGTATCAACTCCTAGAAGGTTTATCCAATGAGCCGTGAGTGAGGAAACATAGGTATGATTGATTTACATTTGCTATACAAAGGAATTAATGTAGTGTTCAGTTCAAAATTTCACACTTTTCATTGAAATTATTGCCTTTGATGAGAATTGTTTGAATTGAGAATTGAGGGAATAGTTTCTCACGAACACGATTTGTATAGCATGCATGTAAGAAGGGTACTCCTATAACATGAGAGGCCGCTCGTCGGCCTTTTTTCTATCGGATATGATTTTGCCGACTGCGACCTCTCATTTCCGAAGCACTAATTCTATGAAATCCGGAACTAAATCGGCTTGAAAAACTCAATTAAGTGGTTCACAGTTCATGACAACGATGTCTACTCACTGTTCATGTAATATAGATCCCATATCTATGTCACAGACACAAATATATGGTATATTACGGAATAGAACACTCAAAATACATGTCCATGTCGTTGAAGCATTCTCTGACCTAGCTTCCTGGGTTAGTACAAAATAGCAGGGGGAATTTCAAACGGAACGAAATGATATGGAGTTTGTTTGTATTCCGCTTGTTAAACATGACATGTATTCCATCTTTGTACTAACCGGAAAATCATGCCAAATGTTGTCTGCTTCACTTTGAAAGAGGAAAAGCATATTATTTATTCTTTGACACCAAATTCTTCTCATTTAATCATGGATTTATGGAAAGGAACATTTATTGAACCTGCTGAACATTTAAATGTATGTAAACACATTATGCTTTTTCTAAATCCGAACTTTGAAAATTTGATCGTCAGCATCGGGAAAATCAGCTATGGGCAGTCAGAGGTTGGGCGGCGCCTGTCAATTTCTTTTCGCCGTGTAAACCTCTAACATTGTTGGAGTAGTAAGTAGGGGTGAATTATTATATAGAAGGTACTATTACATGTAGCAGCACCGACGATTCCTTCAAGGAAAGGCCACTATATAGTACACTGTTATTCATTTTCGGCATACTGTATCTATTACCAATTTTTTTAGGTGCAAATTCACATGTGTCTTTTTGCAAAATATTACTGTTGGTGAACATTAAAAAACATCTTACAAACAAAAAAAGCATTAGGGTATGATCAATGCTACCGATGTGAGACAAAATCGATTTATTGATAGATAAGCTTGTATAGCTGCTACACCGATCAGTTTACATTAAAGATGTCTGGGTTTACACTTGTTTGATTTTAGACAGAAATGTATGGTGATTTGATCGATATTGTTTGTATCCCTATAAAGGAGCTTAGCTTTATAAAGGAAACTTAATTAAAACCAACATGCGATCGACTCTTCATCAGTCGATACTATACAACCAATGAAATTGAGTAGAGAAATAGACCTGTAATATCACTGTTACGTTCGGGATATGTAACCATACAGACACAAGGCGATCGGGTGACAGTAGTACCTCGGGCAGTTCACAATGTCAGCTCAAGGTTTGGTAAGTATATTTTCTAAAGGTGATTGGTAAACATGGCATGGTTTCTATCTGTGTCAAATCAGTTTCTATGTAACAGGGATATATATATTTATTGTGTGTAAGACTTTGAATTGATTTTAATATCATGAAAGGTCTTGGTGTAAGGAACCTTAAATGGTTGTTTGGTAGTATAGTTGTGTGATGAACGAATGTGGTGCGAAGACCCTTAATGTTGTTTTGTTACCTGTATGTAAGAATGTGTGGAATGTGAGTACTTTTAGTCACATGACATCAACGGACATTTGTATTGGTCATAGCTAATTATAACAACTGCATGATATTTAACTTGACTAATATCACACAGCACCAAGGCGTTGAAGGGTATAGTTATTCTTTTTATATCAGAAGAATTTGAAGTATTACAAATATAGCGAACTGTTTTTTTTTTAAACTACAGAATAAAAGGCATAAAATAACCCAACAGTGTTTTGTGGATTGTATACACGAAGATAGCACTGTAACATCTACATCCAATGTTTGCTATGTTTTAGATAGCTATTGAGGGACATACTTTCCTATACTGGACAGGTGACATTCTAACATCCAATGTTTGTTATGTTTTAGATAGCTATTGAGGGACATACTTTCCTATACTGGATAGGTGACATTCTGACATCATATGTTTGTTATGTTTTAGATAGCTATTGAGGGACATACTTTCCTATACTGGATAGGTGACATTCTGACATCATATGTTTGTTATGTTTTAGATAGCTATTGAGGGACATACTTTCCTATACTGGATAGGTGACATTCTGACATCATATGTTTGTTATGTTTTAGATAGCTATTGAGGGACATACTTTCCTATACTGGATAGGTGACATTCTGACATCATATGTTTGTTATGTTTTAGATAGCTATTGAGGGACATACTTTCCTATACTGGATAGGTGACATTCTGACATCATATGTTTGTTATGTTTTAGATAGCTATTGAGGGACATACTTTCCTATACTGGATAGGTGACATTCTGACATCATATGTTTGTTATGTTTTAGATAGCTATTGAGGGACATACTTTCCTATACTGGATAGGTGACATTCTGACATCATATGTTTGTTATGTTTTAGATAGCTATTGAGGGACATACTTTCCTATACTGGATAGGTGACATTCTGACATCATATGTTTGTTATGTTTTAGATAGCTATTGAGGGACATACTTTCCTATACTGGATAGGTGACATTCTGACATCATATGTTTGTTATGTTTTAGATAGCTATTGAGGGACATACTTTCCTATACTGGATAGGTGACATTCTGACATCATATGTTTGTTATGTTTTAGATAGCTATTGAGGGACATACTTTCCTATACTGGATAGGTGACATTCTGACATCATATGTTTGTTATGTTTTAGATAGCTATTGAGGGACATACTTTCCTATACTGGATAGGTGACATTCTGACATCATATGTTTGTTATGTTTTAGATAGCTATTGAGGGACATACTTTCCTATACTGGATAGGTGACATTCTGACATCATATGTTTGTTATGTTTTAGATAGCTATTGAGGGACATACTTTCCTATACTGGATAGGTGACATTCTGACATCCAATGTTTGTTATGTTTTAGATAGCTATTGAGGGACATACTTTCCTATACTGGATAGGTGACATTCTGACATCCAATGTTTGTTATGTTTTAGATAGCTATTGAGGGACATACTTTCCTATACTGGATAGGTGACATTCTGACATCCAATGTTTGTTATGTTTTAGATAGCTATTGAGGGACATACTTTCCTATACTGGATAGGTGACATTCTGACATCCAATGTTTGTTATGTTTTAGATAGCTATTGAGGGACATACTTTCCTATACTGGATAGGTGACATTCTGACATCCAATGTTTGTTATGTTTTAGATAGCTATTGAGGGACATACTTTCCTATACTGGATAGGTGACATTCTGACATCCAATGTTTGTTATGTTTTAGATAGCTATTGAGGGACATACTTTCCTATACTGGATAGGTGACATTCTGACATCCAATGTTTGTTATGTTTTAGATAGCTATTGAGGGACATACTTTCCTATACTGGATAGGTGACATTCTGACATCCAATGTTTGTTATGTTTTAGATAGCTATTGAGGGACATACTTTCCTATACTGGATAGGTGACATTCTGACATCCAATGTTTGTTATGTTTTAGATAGCTATTGAGGGACATACTTTCCTATACTGGATAGGTGACATTCTGACATCCAATGTTTGTTATGTTTTAGATAGCTATTGAGGGACATACTTTCCTATACTGGATAGGTGACATTCTGACATCCAATGTTTGTTATGTTTTAGATAGCTATTGAGGGACATACTTTCCTATACTGGATAGGTGACATTCTGACATCCAATGTTTGTTATGTTTTAGATAGCTATTGAGGGACATACTTTCCTATACTGGATAGGGGGCATTCTGACATCCAATGTTTGGTATGTTTTAGATAGCTATTGAGGGACATACTTTCCTATACTGGATAGGGGGCATTCTGACATCCAATGTTTAGTATGTTTTAGATAGCTATTGAGGGACATACTTTCCTGTACTGGATAGGTGACATTCTGACATCCAATGTTTGTAATGTTTTAGATAGCTATTGAGGGGCATACTTTCCTATACTGGATAGGTGACATTCTGACATCATATGTTTGTTATGTTTTAGATAGCTATTGAGGGGCATACTTTCCTATACTGGGTAGGTGACATTCTGACATCATATGTTTATTATGTTTTAGATAGCTATTGAGGGACATACTTTCCTATACTAGATAGGGGGAATTCTGTCATCCAATGTTTGCTATGCTTTAGATATCTATTGAGGGACATACTTTCCTATACTGGATAGGTGACATTCTGACATCATATGTTTATTATGTTTTAGATAGCTATTGAGGGACATACTTTCCTATACTGGATATGGGGAATTCTGACATCCAATGTTTGTTATGTTTTAGATAGCTATTGAGGGACATACTTTCCTATACTGGATAGGTGACATTCTGACATCATATGTTTATTATGTTTTAGGTAGCTATTGAGGGACAGACTTTCCTATACTGGATAGGGGGAATTCTGACATCCAATGTTTGCTATGCTTTAGATAGCTATTGAGGGACATACTTTCCTATACTGGATATGGGGAATTCTGACATCCAATGTTTGTTATGTTTTAGATAGCTATTGAGGGACATACTTTCCTATACCGGATAGGGGGCATTCTGACATCATATGTTTGGTATGTTTTAGATAGCTATTGAGGGACATACTTTCCTATGCTGGATAGGTGACATTCTGACATCCAATGTTTATTATGTTTTAGATAGCTTTTGAGGGACATACTTTCCTATGCTGGATAGGTGACATTCTGATATCCAATGTTTGTTATGTTTTAGATAGCTATTGAGGGACATACTTTCCTATACTGGATAGGGGGCATTTTGACATATCCAATGTTTGCTATGCTTTAGATAGCTATTGAGGGACATACTTTCCCATACTGGACAGGTGACATTCTGTAATCCAATGTTTGTTATGCTTTAGATAGCTATTGAGGGACATACTGTCCTATACTGGACAGGTGACATTCTGTAATCCAATGTTTGTTATGCTTTAGATAGCTATTGAGGGACATACTTTCCCATACTGGACAGGTGACATTCTGTAATCCAATGTTTGTTATGCTTTAGATAGCTATTGAGGGACATACTGGGACATACTTTCCTATACTGGATAGGGGGCGTTTTGACATATCCAATGTTTGCTATGCTTTAGATAGCTATTGAGGGACATACTTTCCCATACTGGACAGGTGACATTCTGTAATCCAATGTTTGGTATGCTTTAGATAGCTATTGAGGGACATACTGGGACATACTTTCCTATACTGGATAGGGGGCGTTTTGACATATCCAATGTTTGCTATGCTTTAGATAGCTATTGAGGGACATACTTTCCCATACTGGACAGGTGACATTCTGTAATCCAATGTTTGTTATGCTTTAGATAGCTATTGAGGGACATACTTTCCCATACTGGACAGGTGACATTCTGTAATCCAATGTTTGTTATGCTTTAGATAGCTATTGAGGGACATACTTTCCTGTACTGGACAGGTGACATTCTGTAATCCAATGTTTGTTATGCTTTAGATAGCTATTGAGGGACATACTGGGACATACTTTCCTATACTGGATAGGGGGCATTCTGACATCTTATGTTTGTTATGTTTTAGATAGCTTTTTGAGGGACATACTTTCCTATACTGGATAGGGGGCATTCTGACATCATATGTTTGTTATGCTTTAGATAGCTATTGAGGGACATACTTTCCTATACTGGACAGGTGACATTCTGTAATCCAATGTTTGTTATGCTTTAGATAGCTATTGAGGGACATACTTTCCTATACTGGATAGGTGACATTCTGACATCCTATGTTTGTNGAGATAGTTATTGAGGGACATACTTTCCTATACTGTATAGGTGACATTCTGACATCCAATGTTTATTATGTTTTAGAAAGCTATTGAGGGACATACTTTTCTATACTAGATAGGGGGCATTCTGACCTCATATGTTTGTTATGTTTTAGATAGCTATCGAGGGACATACTTTCCTATACTGGATAGGTGACATTCTGACATCCAATGTTTGTTATGTTTTAGATAGCTATTGAGGGACATACTTTCCTATACTAGATAGGGGGAATTCTGACATCCAATGTTTGTAATGTTTTAGATAGCTATTGAGGGACATACTTTCCTATACTAGATAGGGGGCATCCTGACATCCAATGTTTGTTATGTTTTAGATAGCTATTTGAGGGACATACTTTCCTATACTGGATAGGGGGCATTCTGACATCCAATGTTTGCTATGCTTTAGATAGTTATTGAGGGACATACTTTCTTATACTAGATAGAGGCAATTCTGATATCCAATG